TGGCCAGCTCTCCGGAATGGGCCGACCAAAATTTTGTATGCATTTCCCGTTTCATGATTTCCAACATAATCAATTGTAAGAAAGAATTTTCTTGTAGCTTTGGGTAAATTTTGTGGAATGTATAATGTATTAAATGTACTAAACCCAAAATATTTTAGACCAAACTGAATCGCCAAATAATTAATATCTTGTGCAACTTTCTTTGTGAAGCGTCATTTGGAAATAAGTTTCTCGAAATATTATTATTATTGATTCTAACTGCAAATGGGTTTTAACCCGGTGGCAGTGGTCTACAACAAGACACAACATACAAATAGCTATACATCTCACAAACAAATAACACAAACACAAAATAACACAAAGCCACAAAGTGACACAATGCATGAGTGCAACACAGCGCCCAAAACTCACAATGACACATCATAGATATACTATCCAGTATGAACACATTATGTGTCATTGTGAGTTTTGGGCGCTGTGTTGCACTCATGCATTGTGTCACTTTGTGTCTTTGGGTTATCAAACGAAGTTTTATATTTCCTTGACCCTATATCAGTTTAAATAAACAAAATAATTTTATTGTTTTGTAAACGTGTGAGAATCTTACAAACAAAGGCATTAATTCAAGAGAAAACTAAAATGGTTAGCCTTTCATGAGGCGCGATCCTTCGTGACAAGTCGAACTGTTTAGAGCGCCCTCTTCCTTCCGGTAACTCGGGGGTCATAACGATGGAAAACTGAACATTACTTAAACACAGGATGTTTAATTTCTTCTGAGCAATGTTGTGCAGTAGAAACTGCGCTGCGCAAACATTCCAAAAAGTGCCACATCCACACAATTACTTCCCACGACAGAAGCCTCACCAACACAAAATCATCCACCAGGGAACACAGAAAGAAAAATCCAGAAGAAATTCCACCTCCAGAAACACAATTTTAAACAACGGAAGACAAGTTCGCAATAAAAACTAATTCCACATCCAAAACAGAATTCAACAATGAAAAACAAGACAACTTGCAAAACGGCATAATAAGTACACACAGTTCATCTGTGAAGAACTACATTCGCATCTATAAAACGCCAAAACATCCTGAAACTACATAGATATACAAGACTTTTATAACGAAAGGACTTAAAAATTAAACACATTTTAAAATTTAACAATCTTAATATTTAACAATTTAACAAGGGAGGGGCATGCGGTAGCGTAGTTTGTTAAGACATTATGCTACATCCTGAAGGTCGCGGGTTCTACTCCCGATGAGGTGGATTTTTTCAATTTACCTAATCCTTCCAGCCTCACTGTGACCCTGGAGTTGACTCAGCCTCTAACAGAAATGAGTACCAGGAATCTTCCTGGGGGTAAAGGGCAGCCAGCGCGTAAGGCTGACAACCTTACCATCATCTGTCAGTCGACTGTCCAGAAAAAATGTAGTGGCCTCGACGTCTCAGAACCATATGGGCCTCCATGGCCTGTTACGTGGATAGTTTTGCCTCACTTTTTACCTTTTACATTTTAACAAGGGCACATACAGTAGCATTACACCCCAAAATATCAAACTGACAACACAAAATATACCCACTGTAATCACTGGTCAATGTAAGGGGTGAGCAGTGTTGCCAACAGAATCTGTGCACGCCTGATGATAGCCGATAAGCCGAAACATGGAGCAGATAATTAAGGCACGAGCATAGCGCATCTATACACGAGCTGTGCTAACACAAACAAATGCAATTGGAAACACATCACAACGTGACGCTACAACTGACACAACATGTATTCCACTTTCATACACAAAAATGACGTGGTACATATTCACATATGGACATTATGATAACAGTTCCGAAAGAAAAAAAAACGCTTTCATGCTCTACGAGGAATATTTTACACGTAGAAATGTCTTGCTGCAGTTGACCTGTATATGACTTTCACTATCGGACCTTTATGGTAACAAACGCTGTAAAATAATTACAGTACCAATTAAAACAACTAGCAGAATAAACAAGATAGAGTGTTTCAGAACTTGACCCGCATGTGTTTTCACAATCTGTGATAGCAAGTCTTGTGTTATTTTATGTTAATTTTATATAAAGGGTGTGTTATTCTTCCCTTAGTGCTGCATGTCTGGATGTCCAGGTGCCGGCTGTTTGGCTTATAACTTCAAACTAACACAGACTAACTGTGTTTACCGACACGACGAAGCTGAAGCTTAGTGCGTCCGTTACCCGAGCTGAATACAGTAAGCTGAATATTCCTGTCAGTGTGCATGAAATGGGTGCTCCTGTACGGATATCAGGCCACGTGCTTTAAATCCTGAGATACGTAGACGTGTATTCTTTACTCTCAACACTGAACCTGTTTCGACTTCACATCCAACTTCCCACTGATACCTTCACATCTCTATAAATATTAATTTGGTTTGTAACGAAATGTATGCTATTTTCCATAAAATTTTAAGAATTTTCTATTTAATTATCTGCTTTTCTATTTGCTGAACAAATATTAAGTTACTTCTGTTTCTCTTCGTTTTCAATTTTGTTTCTTTAGTCAGACTTACATGTCCTGACATTTCTTAAAGAATCCAATTTATTCTGCTTAAATTTTACTGGAAGATTTGTTCTTCATAATCCATTTACATATAGAAACGTGGAAATGCCATTAGTTTAAAAAACTACAACTTTTCCTCTTCCTTGATTTGTTTTAATATTCATTTTATCTTCTCATATATTTTCTAACATCATCGTATTTCATTATTTATATTACAGTCGGCTTCATAAGAAATGTCACGTTTCAAGTAAATATAAAACATGGAACTTTTTCGCAAATAAATTTAATATACATTTTTTCTAGTAGCACGCGATAGCGTAGTGGTTAAGGCACTATGTTACAAGTCGGAAGGTCGCGGGTTCAAATGCCGATGAGGTCATTGGATTTTTTTTCAATTGACCTAATCCTTCCGGCCGCACTATGGCCCTGGGGAGTAAAGCGCGGCCGGCGCGTAAGGCTGACAACTTAACCGCCATCTTTGAGCCGATTGTCTAGATAATGTGGGACCCTCAACGTCTCACGACCCTATGGGCCTTCACGGCCTGTTACAGGGATAGCTTTACTTTTTTACTTTTACTTTTTATAGTACCTGATACTTTTTCATCTAAAATCAAAATGCGCCTGACTAACTATCATGTTGAAAAAATAACTAGACAGGAAGAAAATAACTGATACAGACTGGGGACCACATGTCGCACGGAAGAGCAGCACTTTGTTTCGCATTTTGTGGGTCTCGAGTTCAAATCTAAGACAGGAAATCTACTTTAGCGAAAATATTTGTGATTTTGCTCTGTACTGGCCGAAAACTGTCGGAATTATGCCACGATCTGTTCTTTCACTATCCTTTTCAATTCATCACTTTCTAGTAATTCTCACGTTGAATGTTATATAATAGGAGCTACTGATATCGTTGTTAAACGAACTATAAATGAATTTGGCCTGGGAATATCCCAATGCTACCCTGTGAATGAGAAACTGCTGCTTCATAGTAGACAGAGTGGCGAACATTACAGTAAGAAATATGGCTAACAATCATGGCGCCTAAGGCGTATGGTGTTCAGCTCTGAACTTCGGTTCTAATTTCCGACTATGAGTCGCAAGTTTTGTGTATATAATATTTACGTGTATATCCGTAATGCGAGAATTCACTAGAATGGCGCATGTGTTAAAAAAAAGAAACATGTTTCAACCTAAAACAAGAATTTAAGCTTAAATATGATTCATGAAACTTACAAATCTGAACATATGCCTATATAATACTAGACGTCGCTGCTCTGATGTTAGCATTCATAATTCGTACCGGGAGGTACTGGACAAGAAATTCGGCTAGTAGGTCGTCTGTTCTGAGAAACTTTGCGGGTTTCTCAGTGTCTTCAGACAAATATCGGTGGCGAACATTCAATCAGGGCATACACTTTTCCTTCCATATCCTTTCTAATTCATTAGTCACTAATCATCTTAATACTGGAAGCTATAAGATTTGAGCACTTAAATGCGTCTTTTAGTAAAATATGACAAACCATACATACATTTCCAGGAGAGCTTAAACGAAAACAAACTCCGTGGCCTGTAGTCCGTAAGCGAACTATACCGACCGAGCGACCGCCGCTTGTCGGCGAAGTTAGTGCTAACTTTTGCGGATAGATGTCGCGTGGTCAGCGCAATGGATCCCTACGGCCATTAATCTCGGTTTTCTAGACAGGAGCCGCCATTTCCTTGAGATAGCTCCTCAATTATCCTCATGAGGCTGAGTGGATCCCGTACCAGACCCACTACTTCTCAGAAAATCTTTTTCAGGAGAGCTTAATTTTAAAATTTATAGCGTTTTGATAAAAATATATTACCTGCGATTTAAATACCTTCGTATAGTGTCCAAAGTCGAATATGAGCACCTTCTAAGTCTTACAGAAGTTCATCAACAACCTTCTTCACATATGTCATACGCATATATTAATTGTGAATAGAATGACGATTACCACGTATAGTGAAGAGACCCTTTGTTCATAAGTTTCTTCTACTAACTGAAAACTTTCTCGCAAACAACATGCTTGTCTGTCCAAGTCATTACAAATGATATGCCAGCACCATCTGTTGGCGGGTGGACGTATTCCTACTACAACTAAATTTCAAATTGTTCTACAGCAGACGAGCTAACAGGTGCATTTTATTACAAAACTCCGATCTTTAGGTCTTCTTTTTTTTTTATTTTTCTCTTTAATTGGAGGGAGAATTTATTGCAACACGAAAGAACGTGAAAAACAAACAAAAAGACTGCCTTCATTTTAAATTTACGGAAGGAAATGGAACACAGTACCGATCTTCTTTTGTAAACTAATGTGATGTCATTTACTTTGATCGCTAACAGATGGCGCCACCTGTAAGAGATATTTTGCGATTCTTAAAGGGGGGAAGCAGAAGGCTGGGCAATGTTACGGAATGTGCTGCACTTACCGGCATAGTTTGACTCCCGTGTAGACTGTTGATAGCCGCTTGGGCTTCTTGGTGTGAGCTGAATTTGACAAACGCACAACCTGCAAACAAAATGGACAGTACACAGTCAGTGTCAGTGACATATGAGGATATGAAATTTTAATATTTAGGTCACAGCTAATAACCTTCAATGAGAAGTTCTTCCTTGAGAAAACAGGTAGCTGCTCAGTCTGTGAAGAAATTCACGTTTGTATGACATCCAGAAGCACACAACTTTAGCAGGAATTATTGAAGGGAATGGACCAATTTGGGGAATTATATATTATATTATAATATTGTCGCGTATCGGGCGTATATCGCGACAAATAAATTCTCGATGTATTCGATGTAGCGAATTTTATTTCACATTCGCGCTTACAATCACCCAAATTACAGATTTACGATTACTACTAAGTATCACAA